CAATCTATGGTTTTCATTCTTTTTTGTCTATGAAAGGCAACCTGTGCCYCCTGTCCCCTGGGGTACAACCCTCTACCCCCTGCCCCCTGGGGTACAACCCTTTACCAGTAAGAAGAATCTTTCAATATCATTATCTTCATTCTTAGGACATTAATTTTTAAAAATAACTCTGTTTACATTACAATGAATTTTAAAAGCTTGCAAATGGTAACGGCCCTTTTAAATTCCACTATTAAAATAATATCAATTTAAATATTTCAACTTACATGTGGCAAAAGATGAAAAATCCCACTGCCACCCAAAACACCCACAGCCAGAGATACCATGAATAACAGAAGCTTTTTATAAAAGTTATGGCCCATAAATGGGACGACAAAGGCTCCAAGCAATGAAGCAGCGCTAATGATACATACTGACAGAATGCCGTATCCCCATGCTGAAAGATAAGCAAATAAATTATTGAAAAAAAAACTACAATAATGTTGGTAGAACAACATGACTAAGAACAAGACCACTGTAATATCTTTAAATTAAGATGGTGGATTGACTACTATTGCCATTTCATACCTTTCAGTTTAGATTCCTTTGCTTCMACTGGTTTTTTGCTTTCATTATCAACCTTGCAGGCCTTGCTATCAATTTGTTGCACAATCGCAGGGCAGACAGTTTGAAAGCTGGCTTTATCAATACCAGTTGCATTGAGTGAAAATATGCTCAGTAAACTTGAACCTGAAAAACACTAAAAAAAACAGTTTCAGCTTAACCTTAGTAATGAGTAAAATTTATGCTATATTTTCTTTAGGGGGAGGGGTAGTCCATCGATCAAAGTGCAAAATTAGAAGCATGTGAAAAGAGTCTTTAATTAGCATGCTTTAATTATATTAAAAACAAACTGTGCTCGGTTTTGAACTGCATGTCCTATCTCTTATTGACACATTCTTGAAGTCATAAAATATTAAAAACTCATGTTGTCTAGCTTTTGTGCTTGTGGACAGCGAGCGCACATGCAGACTCCCTGCAGCTCATTCTGTGCAAAGTTGATTCGTATACCTAATTAAACCTGCATCCTGAGGTACCTCAAACGGTTCCAAAAGTACAAGTATATTATAAAAAGAATTACATTTTGAGTATGCATTCACAAACATTTGAAACGCAGTCCAAATGTTCGAGTGCAATATCAAGAGGCTTCGCGTTAATGCTTTACATCGATTATATAATAACTTATAATCCGATCCAAACATCAGTTGATATTCTCAATCTTTTGGTATTCAGATCTATACTTACGTTGTTTTCAACAGATCCAATGTTTTTAGTCATATTTTCACCAATTCCCAAATTTTTCAAGAGATTTCCAAACTTGACCATGCCAATGTGGCCAGCGTTATTTCCATATTTCTTGAACAACTCGTCGCCGAAGTCGCCGGGTGAAAGACCATTGGCACTTCGTATGCCGCGATGCGAGATATGATGGTTGAATTTGTTGGCGTTCGACCTCCATATATTAAGAACAAGGCACAAAGACAAAATCCAATGCATCGTGGTTCTCCTGGCCAAAACAAGAAACAGTTTGTGCAAACTACTCACGCCACAGGTAGTCCAAACTTGTGTACAAGATTGATTGCGAAACCGCCTGCGAATCGCCTGCGAACCCTTGCGCGCAGACTGTAAAGTTGCGATTAAAGTTGCAAACGATTCTCAGATAACTCTCATTAGATATTTAATGACTGTAAAAGTGTAGTAATCTGAGCATAAACGCTCGTTTTACGTGATTTTCAACACTTCTAGAAGAATGAATATAATGTACTCTTATATTTGCACACAGGTAACCCAAACTCTACACATAAGAACGAAAAGTTTGATAAATGCAAATCTGAATAAAATAATTTCAAATCTACATGTATTTACAACATATTTCAAACATTTTTTAATGCTTTATCATCAATATACCAAACTATTTCTCCTTTATCCAGTTTTAAAGCAGATACTGGTAACTGCTTGTCAACAGTTTTATCCTCCAACATAGCAATTTCTCTAACTATCTCTGCTTTCTTTTCACCTAATATCAAAATTCCAACTGCTCTTGCTTTGTTTAAAACTTCTAARGTYAAAGTCATTCTCAGACCTTTTGGATTCATGGTCTTTGATTCTGAAATAACTACCAAGGTGTTTTTTGATTGAAAATTACTGTTGGGAAAAAGAGAACCAATATGGCCATCCGTGCCGACTCCAAGAAGAACATAGTCTAGTGTCAAAGTGTTACCAATAATTGACTTAAGCTTAGCTTCATAGTGTTCRGCACCTCTGTCCAATGSRGAGCATAGGCCATTTTTCATGTCTATTGGCATTTCATGAACATTGATACTTGAAATTGGTATATACTTCAACAAGTGTTTATAAATAAAATTATAATTTGATCGTTTRTCRRTAAAAGTATAACAGCGCTCGTCRACAAACCATATGTGTGTCGCATGCCAAGGGAAGTCAACAGTAAAGAAAGCTAATTGTTCAAACAGGTTAAGAGGAGTTGACCCCCCTGATAAAGCCATATGGAACACCCCCCTKGATGATACTGTTTCTAATGCYTTAYGCAGCATATYCATTGCYAAATTCTTKACAACAKTTGCCTTGCTTCCYGTGACCAAAGAACTYCCCCTRAAGCTTGTCCTCAAGTAACGATTGAATGTTTGYTCCTTTTGACATRTGTCATCAGAYGAGCAAGTTAGCTCATTAATRAAATCCAGCCTCCTTCCAGCAATTTTAAAGTCTAACATTTCTAAATTTTCTCTTGAATATAACACAGGAGCTACTGATTTCAAAGTGTTAACTAATGGGGACCAAACTCTCCATGAAGCCAAAAGGTCACTTGTCCCAATAAACTGTTCCTTTTTTCCTTGATAAACTGCATCAATTAAAACTGTATATGCATCTTTCGAGACAGGAGGTTCRAAGATATCATATGAATTCCCTGGACAGCCATATAAATAATCAGGCTTAGTCTCTAGGGGAACCCAATTGGAAAATGTGGAAACTTTTGGTAAACTTTTTGATATAATCAAAGCTGGTTTCTTCAGCACACCACCTTGTATGTGAAATATTAGTTGCTTGAGTGGGCAATTGGTTTTGGGATTTTTGGGGCTTATGTTGAATTCGCTATTGAAGGTTATTTTGACATATGCAGATCTTTCACTCAGTTGTTTACCAGATATCATAAGAAAAGGTACTTTATCCCATTTTGAATTCTTAGAATGAAGTAATACAGCCGCRAAAGTTGGCGTGGTAATGTCAACTRGACTTGCRTCTTGTTGCTCATCCATGGAATGCTTCTTGTACGAGCTATATTGTCCAATAATGGCACCATATCTATGTAGTGGTTCAATCTCATTTAAGAAMTGCAATTTATTACGATGTATATCAGTCATATTGTTCATACTAACTGGAATATCCATGGCAACCAAGGCCATTAATTCAGTCATGTGATTCTGCATGACGTCACGGATGACACCATATTGATTATAAAACTCTGTTCGACCTTTGCAATTATCCTTTTCTTTCAAACCAAGTTCAATGCTCTTAATATGGTTCCTGTTCCATAATCTTTTATAACTCTCTTGGTGTTGAATTCTAAAATTAAGTATCTGAGAGACACCAGTTTTCCCTAAGTAATGGTCAACTCGGTAAATCTCCTCTTCAGCAAAATACTGCTCAAGYTCCTTTGCCAGRGATTCTGCCGACTCWAAGTCAGCTCCAAAAGGCTTTTCCAAGACGACTCTTAAGAAAGACTTCCCATTGGCTGATTTTGGTCTGCAATGTTTATGTATGCTCCTTGAGATGGAACTATATGCAAAGGGTGGCACTGAGAGGTAGAATATACGTCCCAACCTCTCAGCTCCATTGGAATCAAGACCCTTACAGAAAGTCACATAATCTTCATSTTTCTTAAGCTTGTGATATTTTGTGTTTTGAAGAAATTCTCCCCTCCACTTCTCACAGTCCAAATCAGCTTGCTCCAAAGAATGGCAACCTATTTTTGATGGTAAAATCTCTTGAAGAAGTTGTTGACCTTTGCTGTGGTCCTCCCTGGCAGCTCCGTAGACTTGAACGATTTCGTCTAGCTTTGTATGCTTACGGTACAATTCAAAGAGGCCTTTCCAAAGATATTTCTTTGCGAGGTCCCCAGTTGCGCCTATCAATACAACTTGCGTGCAAGAACGAACTTTTGTTCCTGTCTTTGACACTTCAAAGGCGTTTACAGATGCGTTTAGGCTTATAGCACTGAAAAATAATAATATTATCGCTAGTTCTCTCATATTTTTTTGCTCATTCGATTCTGAAGTTGTTCGAAGATGTTATTACCGTGAGAAGCTTGGGTCGAGAGATTTGGTGCCCAGGGCTTTCAGCTCTTGCGGTACACAGGGAGCCCATAATTAGGCCACATGCAGTCATCAGTGACAAGTTCCCACCGTACAATCTGCAATGATGCAATGATGCGTTGCTTTCTCATGAGAACCGTTCGTGTGGCAAAGCGAGCATAACTTAATTATAAGTTTGATAAAAAGAAGTTAGTTTCTACTGACAACACTGTCACTGTATTGTACATAAACTCGTATTCTTTGGGCATTTTTGTAGCAGGCGTGACAATGACCAACAAACCAAAGCGCGCAGTTGTTTGTATACGAAAGAAGCGAAATTGAAATGGACTCTAAAATAAGTTTCAGTGATATGTACATTCGTCAGGGCGTCGGCCTCGGTGTCAGTCTCTTTTTTGCGTCACGTCAGTTATTTTCGATCTGAGAAACTAAACGAGTTAACAGACATTTTAAGTCCTTTTCCTCGTTTGGTATATGGAATCAGTTGATTTTCTGGTATTTTTTTCTGGATCAGGCTTTCACGTTCGGGCACACGAGCAAAAATATATGCTATGTCATGACCCCCTGTTCTCCGGCATGTCTTCTTCCTACTGGTCCACCAWTTGCTACAGGTTTCTGGAAGGAAATACGTCACGTCCTTAGTAACAAAATTTTTTATGTAATCTAAGGATTAGTCAACCACCGGGTGAAATATTTGACACTGATTTGACTTATAATTGTCGTCAGATTATCGTTATTGTTCTACAATTGTTTTAGGCTGTCATTGCAAAACCCTAATTCCACATCGTAAAACTCTTGCGTCTTTTTCTTGCCTCGTTGACTTAACGCAGAGTTTCTAACTTAACCTAAAGGTTTCTGTGGTCGAAATATTTTGATAAACGGTTTTGACGTCTTTGAATATTGACTAAGAATGTTGATAGACTGCTATATTTTTTTAAAAGGTTCAACTTGGATGGTTATCTGAACTCTTCAGAATGTCTRCCAATTGTACAAACACAATGGCCCACGCCGCATGGGATAAAACAGGACTCAGCATTTTCTGAACAAGAATAGAAAACATACCGCTCTAAATTGCGAAACCTTTTACATTTTTGTAGAACACGTTAAAGCGTTTTTTTACTAAACTTTTTTTCGGCATTGCGTCAATTCCCCGAGGGCCTTAAACCACGGATGAATTCTCAAAGCTGATTGCATTGTTTGAAAGTTTTTCAAAGTATTTGCATAGAGAAATATAACAGCATGTTTCTCACGGGAATTCTTTGAACCTTGACGAAATGATGGAACAAGCTCGAAGTCCAGAAGTTTCATTCATCAAGGAAGAGCATTACCTCTCAGAAAAAAGGAGTTTTTGACTTGACCTAACGTTGCTGAAGTTTATGCATCAAGTACGTGTGACCTCAAGGTATTAATGATATTTTAACGTGCAAGACTTTGTTTATGTTGAGAGCTTTGATGTGGACAACGAGCGGACTTTCCGACAACAATGTGGAAATTCAGAACAGCTTAGATGATATTTCACATGATTGTTTCTGAAAATAGACGCGGAAGAGATGGACTCTGGATCGAATGACGTAGTTGTCAAAACAGATGAAATACAATCCAGTTGTAACGCGATTCCAACGAACGCCAGACACGAGAAAGAATCCTTTCAGGAATGTGGATATCAAAATTTATCCAACAGCTCTGGTTTGGAATATGGAGCCAACAGCGAAGCCAAATTACATAGAAAYTGTGATAACAATGAAGACAGAGTAAAGTCCACTGCTATGGAGCGAAGTTTTATGATTATTGACAAAAATTCAGGGACATTTGTAACCGAATTGAATGATGAGTCCGAGTTGGCTTCTTCGCTCGTTTCTAAATCGGATATGAAAGAATTTGAGCAAAATTCTTCAGACTGTAATGGAAATTATGATAAACTTAAGACTTTGAATGATCAGARGGGAAGTATTCRTGGATTTGATGCCAMAATTTCTTCGTCTTTGTCAGCCTTYGAAGAYGATGATGACAGCYCATTTGATGGTCACCCTGTAGTTTCTTTTGGAAGCCAGCATGAGATTGTTGCTTTATACCAAGGAACGTCATCAAAAACTTCTAATTTTAAGAAAAGGTCTGGTAGTTTAGCGAGCCAGACTAATTCATCTACACAAGGACAGATACCAGATCATTCAAGTACGTCCTCAAACCMCTTTGATCTAGAAGCCGAAGAACTTTTTCCATTCTTTGATGATGATGACACCCCGAGTTCGAACTCGGATGGTGGGTTGGAATTTGATGTTTTTGACTCTCAGATCCAAGGCAACTCGCAAAAGAGTAGGACTTCGTCTTGGAGCAATACACCGTTTTTCGATAGACCTTTATTGACAGATGATGACTTCCATCAGGATTTTCATCGATCAATTAAAGTCACTGACATYGATTCTTTGTTTACGCAGCAAAATGTCAGTCTCGACGAAAATGAGGAAGAAATGGAGGTTTTCAGAAGTGAAGTTAATGAACGAGAAAAACAAGACGATAAAACGATGGAAGAAGGTACAACAAATCCAGAGGATGAACTTTTTAATCTTTTTGCATCCGAAATGACACGAAATGACAAAAGAACACGCAATTTTGAGCGACTAATCTTCAATTCCAATGACAGCATTTTGGATGTCGAGGAAGTGATCACTCCCGAGGAATCTCCACGCGAGAACGTTAATCTGAACAATTTGTTTCTTGAGGACTGCGCCAATGAGGACAAAATCATCCCAATTGTTTTAAATAAAAAGCACAACCTCTTTGAAGATTTTTTATTTCAGGAAAGCGTTTCAACCACAGAACGTAAAGATGCGGAAAGCACGCATGGTTCGAATTTCCTTGGCATGAGAAATGACCAAACTGCTTGTGTTTCCCTGGACAGCAACGAAAGGAGTGAATTACTTGATGACAAAACGACGGAAGGTGATACGGACATCTCTGTTAATGATCTCAAGATGAACGGCGTTGATATCATCACAGCTTRCCATAATGATGACGATGACAAACTGTGTAAAACTGTTGATAAAGATGATGAAATGATTATTAGTAACTCTGATCGTGAGGAAATCGAAGTTGTATGCGTTTTACAAGAAGACAGTAGCGAAATGAATGCCGGCGGTGYTGYGGRAAGGGTTAACGATGATGGTGGTGACATTGTTGGCCTTGAGRAAATAGAAGTGTCATGTGTTGTTCAAGTTGCTAGTAGTTTTAATGATAGTGGTGATAATGATGCTGTTGTCTKCGGAGAAACAGGTTCATRTGTTGTACAAGTYGATGGTAAGGAACTCCATGCCAGTAGCGTTGCAAGTAGTTTTAATGGTGGTGGAGGCGTAAGTAGTAGTGATGTAGTAAGTGCATATAATAGTGCAGGAAGTTGCTATGGTAATAATGATGACACCGCTGGTCATGAGGAAGCAGAAGTTGAATATGTTGTCATTCAAGTGGACGATAGAGAAGTAACTCTTTGTAATGGTGATGGTACTAGTAGTGGCGATAGTGTTGAGTGTAGTGGTAATACTAGTGGTGATGTTCATGAGATTAGCAATTYTGTTAGTAATGGTGACGGTGTTGGTAGCCTTATTGAAGGTTTTGGTAGTGGTGATGGCCCTAGTAGTTGTAATGGCGATTTCAGTAGAAATAATCATGTCATTGATCATACATATGGTGGTAAAGACTTCAATAAAGACGACGATTATGGATTATCTGAAGAAGACGATTCTGGTAGTGCCAGTTTCGTTGTTTATCCAGAAATCATTGTAAAAGCCTTGCAGTCGACAGATTCTGCTGGTGCTGGGGACATTTGCCAGGACATTGATACCAACAACGATGCGAGTGATTGTCAAGTTGTACACCATGTCGAGACTCCAAATGAAAGCTGTGGAAAAAGTTTGTTTGTTGACAGTGTTAGTGGGAACGGTCAGTGTGAAGATCGCCAGATATGTGTTAATGATGGTGGCTATGACAACCTCAGCGATGATGACAAAATAAATGTCAYAAAATATATARATGATGTCACAAGAARTAAAGATGACGTCATCACAAGTRAAGATGACGTCACAGTGGTTCTCGACGTCAATTCTATCGATGAAGACCAAARAGAAGAGCATGGAAGTGRTTTAGATCAAGCTAAWTGTCACAAAACRAATGWTAAGAACAATGACAGTTGCAAAGACGAATTCTTTGAAGGTRGTCACAATCAAGACAACCAGAAAAKTGATGTCACAGAWAAGTTGAATGATGCCGTTGCTAACTGTGACGTCATAATAATTATTGACAGCGCAGATCAGAATGATGACACAATCATCTGTACTGATGATGACGACAAAACGATTTTAATTGAAAATGACGTCAGAGAGAATGTTAATGAACAAAACACCATCAAATCAAAATCCGCTTTTGATTTGAAGAGTTCCGAAGAAAGCACGAATTCTAGACGGAAATCATCCGGAAGCGATTCGGATCATTTACGGATGCTCAARAATATGACAGTGACTGATCAGTTGCTTAAAGCTCATTCACACAATCCGCGTACTTCCGAAGATACGAAAGCTTCCGAAAACACACTCGGGTACCTCTCGGACAAAAATCGTACGGAATTGTCACTAGACGAACGAATTTTGAATGTTAATCGATCGATTGACTGGGTACGGAGCGTTATCATGGAGATGCGAACACAGGATTTGACGTTAAAAATTCAGTTTGATGGACTCCGGCAAGAGATAAGAAATCTTCAACACGAGTTTGAACATTACGGCGTTGATTGTGATTACTATAAAGACGATGAACTTCTAAATCTGGAATATTTGGACTACAAAACGGACGAACAAAAAACTCACATCAACACCAACACCGCGTTACGCGAGGACAGCGGTTATCACTCTGATACTTCGTCGGTATCGGACTCAAAGGATTATGGGAAGGGCAAGGTTGCCAACGTTACCAAGGCCAAATATTTGTACGAACCTATCCCGTCATTCCCAAAGGTGAAGACGCTGACCAGTAGTAAATGTGTCTTTGAAATTGTCCTGTAGGATATTTTTCATTGGATAGTTTTAAGTATTAATACTCACTTTGAATAATTTTCCTTCGTCCGTGAAAGAATAGTTAGTAGTTCGCTTTTGTCATTTTATCGATTAGAGTGCATTAACAGACTCGTACCCAGTCGCTTCTCCGGCTTTTTTTAGAGACGCGCAATGCATCAAGGGAAGGGCGAAGGGAAAGCGCGAAGCTTTTTTTGCGAAAAATAAGGAGTAACGACTGGGTACGAGTCTGGTGCACTAAAAGCGTGAAAAGTGGACGCACTTTATCTTTATTTTTCACGTTTTTCGTTGTCTTGTAGGTGAATCACCCTTCATTACAATTTTACACTTTGACTATTACACTGTTTCACGGGTTTATGATAACCGCCTTCAAATTAAAATGTAAATTTTTGACAACTAGTACATATGGTCAAACGTTAACTCAAATGTTAATGAACTCAATCGAACTCGATGCAAAGTGTTAACGAACAAAAGCAAAAAAAATGGAGTACATGTAAAACTGTTTGGGTACATGTGACATGCGACGTTTGATCCAGGTCTAAAGTCTATGCCCTGTTTTGATATTTGGAGCTCGAGAAATGTCTTAACATAGCTTCTCCCGATGAAAAATTGGAATGAAATAATATTCTGTGTATATTTTCTAGGCATTTTGACTTCATGCAACCTTCTTGCTTGCAAATGACACGTTTAGTGCAATACTCTAGTTTCGAGATCTTATTTCTGCAGCCTTAACCTCGAAAGCATGTAATATCCTCTCTTGATTCAGCACAGATCCTATTGTAATGCAAACATTCTGTGTACAAAGAAGACAATAAAGATTTATGCTTGAAGCTAAGCTTGCACAAAAGAGACTTCGAAACTGGAGTATTTAACCATTTTTGTTCAAAAATGCAAACCTTAGTTTCAGACACAATCCACAATAGCTATACAAACGTATTAGCTTTTATTAGTTTATTTATATAGATCAATTAGAATAAAGCAAGCTGGAATATTACAATTAAAAAAAATTCTCTATTTTACTACAAATCATGGGCGGCATCTTGGATTTCATTTTCATAGTTTTTGGTTCATTWTYATGCAATTTCGACCTGTGGCATCACAGGACCGTACTGAGATRATGGGATAAGATTATATGTAGCAGATCGGTAGAAAATACGTATTGGTTGGTTGGTTGGTTGGTTGGTCACATGGCGCTGCAGTGAGGCGAAAGCAGCAGCTTGGAATAGAAAGAGTAGGAGCACTTATCTGCTTTCTGGAATAAAGAGATGATGGTGATGAATTATGAAGTATTTCTTATAATTTTGATTTTGAATAATTTTTTCGCATAAACGAGTACTCAATTGGCGACTCTTTTGGTATGATTTTGGCGATAATTTTAAAACCAGGTTTGAGGGCGTGACTGTCTGAAGCTCCGTCGTGAAGTGGGACAGACTCACAAATTTAGGGTACGACGCACGGTATACCGACGATGAGCTAAAAGGAATCTTGAGGGAAGGAAAGCTGGACGAACTGTCCAATAAATAATAAACTACAGCAGCATAGCAACACTGAATCAAATAGCAAGAGTAATAGCAGAAAAAAAGACATAACAAAAATGATAACAATTAATAGAAAAGAACGATTTTAGCATTTTTTCGATTGCCATTCGCCACTCAAAATATTCATATCGATTTTGGCCAATTTTAAGACATTTTGATCGACTTTGACAGACTTTGGGTCTCGGAGTAGTCGCACTTTGTGCATATTGCACGTCAAAAACCTCTTAAAATTTCAGTAAAGTAATTTTAAACACGTTTTGGGGAGATTTTAGGCGATTGTGCGGCATATCACGTACGCAACTCGCAGACGCAGAGAAATGCCACCTGTGTTTGAGCTGCGTCATCTCGCAATATCTGTTCTGATTCATCCTCATACAACTTCCCTCTGGTTTATTTACAAAACGGTAATAATGCGTCACATCACTGAGAACGATTAAACACTCTTACAATCGCACTATACAACAATCGTGAAGCTCGAACGCATTAAGCTCCTTGAGAAATCTTTCAAAAAAACAATCGAAATTACCTCGATATTTTCATGTCTTTACATATCTTGTCAAACTTTTTGAGGTATGTATTATTTTCTTTTAGTCGATTTACACGTTTCATTGCATTTATAATTATAAGCGGAGTATTTTTTTCAGTGTAAACAACGCAAAAAGCTTAATGTCACTTAGTTTWAACCTTTTTTAAGTTTTTGTCATTTTTCAATCATTTTTTGTCATCAATTTACGATATTTGCGATAAGACTAAGAATAGCCTTTGCCGGACTGAAAAAAAAATTGATTSAGAGCATGAAACGCTTTCTTATCCTAATAAATCTTGAGTGCTGGCGAATTTTCAAATTTCGCTTTAAAATAAACATAGCGGTTWTATATATTTTTCTATATTTTTTATTTATTCTATATTTTTTTTTTATATCAATTGATAGTTTGTAATAGTCATACTCCAACAATTCTTTTACGATCTTCTGTTGTCTAAAAGCTTCTCCACGGTTTCCTACTTGATAGAAAAACGTCTTTCGCTATTAGCTCAGAGACCTCTATCATTGAAATTTTGCTGTAAACAGACTCAATTACGTAATTGTTAGTGCTTCAGGCATTGTTTRACACGCGATATTTGTTTATCTCTACGTATTAAATGACATTATACGCTTTATCAAACAATTCGTGAAAAACAAATTCAGTATCTCTTTTACGTTGGTTTAGGTTTTAATTTTTTGTGTGGTTATTTTCGCCGGAAATTTCATCATTTTTTTTCAGAAGAATTTCTGAAAGGAAATCAAGAGAAATTGAACTAAATGTTCTGAAGTTTTGCATGRTAGTGAAGTCGCTTTTTAGAGACAATTCAGCACGAAAAATCAGTGTTGCCTTCTTTACCCTCTATCTTCCTTTGACAACTGCCAAGATTGTTCAAAGTCGAGAAAACCGATCTATGTGGCTTTATGTGGGGCAGACATATGAAAAATGGGGCGTTTTCGTTTGAGAAGAACTTTAAAGTAATAAAGACAAAGTGTCGATCGCTAACTTGATGTCTGATGAAAAAAATGAGGAATTAAGACACAAATTTTATTATTATAGCTAGTTTGAAGGGGAAATATAACATAGCTGATTGGCAACACAGCTCGTACTATTTAAAAGTCATCAACGAATTCAAAGTTTCTTGATAGAGGACTGAAAATGACCGACTGACTGGCTTTTTGCCGACTCGATRATTGATTGACTGATTGATTGATTGATTGACTGATTGCTAGTGACTGATTGTTTGATTAGCTGATAGATTTGACTGGCTCAATGAATTTGTTGAAGTATTTGCACTACTTTTTCCCACACAGCTCTTACCTGTCTCGGTATCTGATTCGTGAGATCGAAAACTGCGAAAATAATGTTTTCTTTTGACCATCATGCACTTGTCTCCTCACGGGGCGTCGATCGAAAACGTGTTCTTCGCTGACTGAATGATGGACCACGCGTGAAATTGACCCTAGATATAAATCTCATATAATATCAGTTCCTTCGTAATTCGCTTTTTCCTGGATTAGTTTTTCACCTGTATTGAAAATAAACTTTTGGAACGCGAGTGTTAACCCAAAAGATCACTTAAACATCTTAATAAACTCAAATTATTTGCCACCAATTCCAAGAATTTTTTGAAAATAAACAACTTGAGATAAAGGTTAGTTAAAGTAAGATAATTTCMTTTTCATAGCGACTCGTCATTCGCCAGCGTTTTATACATCTAACGATTAAACATACATGCRATTTGGATTTATTGAAAAAAATATTCTGATTATTTCAGGAGCGGATCCAGAAAATCCAGGGGGGGGATTTATTGATCCAAATATATCTTTTAAGAAAAAAAAAACACGTTTTTGCCCGAATATTGTGACGTGCGTGAAAAAAAAAAAAAACGCAATAGAAAACGTGCTAATAAAAAGTGCTAGTTAAACATCTAAGTTTAAGCTAAGTGTTTGTGGGCTCATTTATGGGGTTTTAGCGTTGTTGTTTGCTTCCGTCGTAAAGATTTCTGACGAAAATGTTCACGGTTTTATTTTGATAGAAAGAGGAAAATTCTTTTAATATTACAATAAAAAAATCTAGAGCAACGGACTTTAAGTGTGAAAATGAGGGGGGAATTTCCCCTTTTACCCTCCCCTGAATCCACCCCTTCCCTTCCTCCATGGAATAATTAACGGTTTCAAATGTTCAAAGGCCTTTCACACACCGTGTTTCAGTAGTCACGTTCCCGCAGTCAAACAACTCTCTTAACTTGTCATGAATAAATAAGGCAGCTAGAAAACAATAGGCCGGGACTGATATCTAAAGAGCCATGCAAAACACATTTTCGCGGATAAAACAAAAGTCATGTCAAAATGTGACTTTAGTTCATCACGAAAAAGTATTTTCCTGACTTGTTTGCAAAAAGATAAACTAGTCTCAAAAAGAAAAAATAATTTTGGGGTTGTTGATCGATTCTGTCGCGCTTTGATGCAAAACTACAGCCTCTTCGCGCAACTTGTTTTCTAACTGCGAAAAGGACTATTAAACACGATCTATTGGAGAATTTGCCTTTATTCTGATATTTTTCACTATATATATAGTACGACATGCAAGCAAGGATACTTTAACTTACATTTGGGCAGTTTTGTGTTATTTAAGCATTCTTTAATTTTGTTTTTACGCTATACGCCATCTGCGAATTGGTTCAGCGAAAAAATAATCCCTTTGTTTTGGGGCAATTTTAGTWGGATATAAGCAATCAAAAGATTAGCGACCATTTTTGAGAAGCGTCTCATATATTCAATCAAATAAGTAACAGAGGGATTTATTCTGTATTCAATGCGATTGTAATGGGTTGTAAAATGTTTTTTGTTGAACTTTTGTCAGTCAGTTTTAACAAAGCTTGGTAAAGATCAAAAGAAAGGATAGATTGACACGACTTCACGAAGCTCACTCGGCACTATTCGTAAAAAAACAATTCTAATGAATAGCGATATTCCAGTAAAAAACTTATGGCCTTAGGGTCTAGAAGTGTCTATGTTCATAACTATTCCATATTCGTGAAAACCTCTCAAWCCATTACAAATCCGGTCATTATAAGTTATTATATGAACACTGTTGATTGACATGCACTAGGGAATAATGTTTATAGTCTATCACAGCTTCCTTTCCTTAAGTCCTATTCTCCCATGACAGTTGATTTGGAGTTACTGGGAAACGTGACTTAAGATCTCACGTTGAACTGTTTTTTTTAAGTATTCTTCGTTTTCAAGTYGCAGCGGCCATCTTGGAGGAACTTCAACAAAGGATTTCTCATTAGTTTCTATTGTTCATTCCTTCCCACATGGCCGCCGGTCTTTTCTCTTTTGAATCTCATGGTTGAAAACGATCAATATCAGTTGAAGTGGGGTTGTTAACACTATCTAACGGGTTGGATTGAGTTYGAAGTAGCATTCTCTTAAACATCATCCAACATTTGTTCCCTCTCTTGTTTATCATACGGACCTGAAGGCATATCGTCCAATAATTTTAGTCTCAGATAATGCGACACTAACTATTTGKTATATGCATCGCCCCGTACAAAAACTTTAGAATAGCATTCAATGAGAAATGTTGTATGGCCCATAAGTCATCCGTGTTTAATTGGGCTATTTTTTGAGCAACAAGGAAATTCTTGAATGGGCGAACGACTGCATAAAGACACTGCATGCTGAACACCTTACTAATAATTATAGAAACTGCTAGCGAATATGTAAGATCTTTCAGTTAATGGAATACAGCGCACTTGATATAAAAGGCTTTTAATTTTAAAAAATTGATTTTGATAAAGGCTTTATCCTGACACAAGAAATGCGTAACTAATCTTTATTCTCTGATTATAGTTTAAAGTTCCTTCATTAAAAGTTTTTTTGAGCTTGAAGCGACGAATACACAATAGCAGCACAATACCTCTCTTGGCGTTTTTAATTCMTGTGCAAATGCCAAATACTTGAAACTATCAAAATTATGATTAATCTTATGATATCATCAACGTTTAAAACGTTTTTGGAGTTTTATTAACTATGTSTAAACTTATTATTAATTTATTAGATGTTGAAAGGATATCGTGCGTTATATCAAAACGTGATCCGTCCAACATTTTATTAGTATTAAACATTATATATCCAACACTATTTTGTATCTACGCTATTCGACTCCCTATGTTCAAAAGAGTTTTTCAGTTTGCGTCAACGAGCACATGATATCTCTTGGCGTAAATTCATTCCTATGTAAATCAAGTATGAGAAAATAGTAATTAATTCATGTCGAACTACCTTATTAATGTTTAATACGATCTGGTTTTCTGGATATCCACCATGGAGTCATTGAGTTCTAAGCCCATTATGTATTTATAAGATATTTAAGAATRGAAGAATTCGGCCTATGTAAAAACGTGATCTGACAAAAACATGCAGTTGCGATGCAATCCATTTTTTTCTTTCTTTATTTTTCTTTTTCTTTTTTTGACGTATTCAGACGTACGCGCCTTCAATTATAAACACATGCAGTCGTTTTAAACCATTTAATAGTAATATATRAAAATACAAACGTCATTCCGTACAGCCTTATTTCCCCCCTCTGGTGACAGGTACGTTGCGTTGGAGTTCGCTCGTTGTTCGGTTGTCACAAGTTAATTTAAACCTAGTTGTTTATTTTCTATACAACGTGACAAATGGCTTCACGTTGTGATCGAATCGAAACCCTTTTTTCAAACATCAAATTACTGAAGTCTTCATTGTTGACAATACTATAAGCATTTCACACTTTAGAAGATCCGATATCTACAAGTTTCCTTTTCTTTTGAATTTAATACTTTGCTCAATTAAGTTTTACGGCACGTAAGCATATATCATAAACAACATCTGCAAAATAATTGCTAACAAAGTAAAACAAAATCGAGTTCTTCTGAGCTCATAGTGTATTTTATGCAAATTTTATGTGTATTTTATGCCCCCCAAAAACACGATTTTCACCATAAGAAGCTGAATCTTTTCAAAAGCTCTTAATGAGTGTTTTTCCTCTATAATACTTATAATATATACAAAAGATTAGCCTTGTAATCCTTTTTTACGCTCACCCCCCCCCCCCCCCCCCCCCAAATCAAAAAAAAAGATTTTTCAAAGCTGAGTTAAAAAACACTTATAGAAACTACCTTGGTAGAAAATATCATAAAAGCCCGATGTCATTAATGAGTTCTGAATCTGTACCACAAAGAAGGAAGCTTAAACGAGCAGAAGTCAAAACAAGTGGCGTTAGATTTGCGAAAAATTGTTGTTTGTGTTTTAATATGAGCATTTGAATTTRARGTACTGCTTCAGATGTAATACGATTCTAGACAATTTAAGGGTTTGTTGACACAGAATTTTGTTTGTTGAKCCAAAGCGAAATCCTTCACGTTTTAGGTAAAATTACTATTTGCGTAAAATTGCCCCTGTCGTGGGGGGTGAGGGGGATTTAACATTTATGTGAATAAAGAAAGAAATATGATAGTAAATTACAATTCGAATAAATATTTCGATGAATGAATACAATTTATTTCGAGTTTTTGCAAGTTTATATATTGTATATATTTCATTGAAGCTGAAAAAAAACTCTTTTAAGGAGTTTATTGAGGTATTATTATTCTTATAATAAAAATCATCACAATGATTTAATGAATAAACGTTCAATGAATAGATTTAGAAAGATGGGGAGAAAGAAAGGAAGAAAGAAAGGAAGAAAGTAGAAAGAAATTGAATGGATTAATTAATAGGTTCATAAAAGAATGAATAAATATTAATTTGAATGAGTAAACGATTGTTACTAAAACATCAAAGTGTTTTGGAAATATTTCAGAACGTTTTTTTGCCTCTTTTAAAAATATGGCTGTTACTTTTCTGTGATCTCAAGACTTCCCCCTCCCTCCCGGTCCCTTTGACGTTGTATATTCATTATGCCGTGCACTACTAATTATGACCGTGTCATTGGTAAATTATACTGCTAACTCATTAAAGATTTATATAAATCTACCATTAATACACCAATGGCAAACCAATACAGCCATGCTCACGTCATTATCGAACTAAGGGGGGAGGAGCAAGGCTATGTTTAGTCTAGTCCAATTTCATCGTCCAACAAATGAGAAGACACTCGCTTKCCTGAAAACGGTTTATCAYCAACCCTCAAGTATCTATGTTTCCGCCCGAAGATAAACCTTCGAATCCCCCACTTCAAGCGGACTAAGAATGGTGCAGACCAGCCTTTCTTTGTAATAGTTCCTTTTTTGCTTTCCAAAACAATTACCTCTTCAATAAAAATTACTAATTGTTTGAAAATCATTGTAGAACGCTTCGGGGAAGAACTAGAAMATGTTACTGAATTCACTGGATACACGGCGAACATTGCTRCGTTACCATAGCAATTGTATTCTCGRTGTCAATTTCGACAAGAAATGAATTTTCCTTAGTGATCGAAAATTKAAATTGAAAATTACTGCTTTTTCTGCTRGGGATTTTGACCTGTAAGCGGCGTGAAACTGTTCAGTCATTTTACTTATTTTATGCTTAATAACAAGTGTTGTAAAAGACATTTTGAATTCGCGACGAGGCCGCCTGGCTAGCCATGTAATCTTTTGTAGATTTTTGGGCGAGTGCGCGCTTAGCGCTTAAAAYACTAGCTGATATTTTTTACTTAATATTCCGTTTCCGATAGAGGGCTGMAATTGATTGATTTTGCTGTTTTACTTGATGTACAATCGATGAAAAACATGTAAAATCGTTTCCGGGCCGAAGTAAATTTTATCGATTTGGGAGAATTCCATTTCATTTGGAGAAAATGTCGATGTACTTTTTTAGTTAAACCGTCCACGACGCCTCCCAASCGCTACAACGCTTCAACTGGTTGAGTTGTTTTTACGAAAAAAAAAAAAAAATCTAAAGCGTGTAAACACAAATGAAAAATACTCAAGAGTCCATCTACCTAGGGGCAGTTTTACAATTTAAATTACTGTCTATCTATACACACTCGGCCTGTTTTTTTTTTGTTTTTTTTTCTTGAGCACAACTGTTTCAAAAAGAAGTGCACCTTTTTCAAAATTGCGAATCGAAGGAAGAAAAGAAACTCATAAGACTGCTCTAAATTAAGAGTAGCTTCTTTGAAGTTTCTTTGATATATTTTCGTCATAAGCTCTAAACAATGTTTTATGAACAAAGACGAAGCACAAATAGTGCCCAGAATATTGAGAAAACATTGAAAGGGCCTCAAGGTGGACATGACGTCACTACCAATTTCATAACAAAGTTTTAATACCCGATTTTATAAACTCAAAAATCCCTTCAAAAKCTCCAAGATCGGTCTTAAAATATTAGAATTTCCGATTGTGTTTGTTTGCTGGGGTTTAAACGAGTTTCAGAGTAATTGCTAAGTCGGATAGGAACATGAGGGCAAGAGGTTCACTGCGCATGTGCGGTGAGCAGGTGGCGAGGAGCATGATTGTCATGAGAACACAAAACATCAAAACTTACTCGGCGCTTCAATGAGCAGTGAACGAATTGGATTCGCGTAGGACCGCGATGTATAGCTCCACCAAAATGTGGGAATTGCCTGTAAAAATCATTCTAAAGTGTGAAAGACTTGTAGTTTAAAGTCATAGCAGGATCATGGCACTAAGTTCTAACACCAAAAAACTCTTTATAAGGATTTTATTGTTTCTAGTTTACCTCCTTCTYGGTGCGGCGATATTTTATGGTATAGARCATGGAAATGAGGAAAAACTTAAAGACAGCAACAACTTTGCCGTTCAATATAAAAACTTCACCGATCACTACAAAATCAGCAAGGAGGACATGGTYGAATTTATAGACGAATTACAAAAAGCTTTAAAACTCGGGTATAATGTGTCTGAGGAACGCTGGACGCAGTACAATCGTTGGGATTTTATGAACGCTTTCCACTTTGCTGGTAATGTTGTAACAACAATAGGTAGGTACTAAAATTCTCTGTCTCCGATTAATATCAAGGTTTTTTGTGTAGCTATTGTGGAATAAATGTAGACGTGATATTCAACATAAAGTAGTGTATAACCCTAGATACATTTCAAGCGCGGTGCCTAATATAAACCTAGTCTGGTTTATGATCGTTTGCGGCGGTCGCTATAGCATTAATCCATGCTACRTTTTCTAAGTTTTATGCTTAACAAGAGAAAAACACACTTTATATTTGAAATTRTTACTCAATGTTTAGAACTTCCACAATGTACATATATAAGATTTACGTTTCGTAACGGCCTGACCACCTGGTCAGAGCTATAGCGATGATATTAAATTTTAAGGCAGTATTACGCCGATCTGATGCCCATCTATAGTCACTGTAAAAATAATATTTCCAGAAAAAAATCTCCTTTTTGGGAAATTACGCTTAAAAAGCTTAAAAATTGCAAGCGAGGCGAGGAAATGTTTGTTTTAGAATTCGGTGTTTGTTAAGCTGTAAGAATAAGACGATGAAAATTCTCTGGAAGCCACACGATAAGACTTATAAATCTTCCCGCGAACCGTTTGGACCATTTATGTAAAAAGCGTGGTTTTCCCCGCTAAAACGTGGATTCCCAACTTACCAAAAGTCAAAGTTAGAGCAATTATTTTCTGGCTTTTTAAAGAAATATTGTAATGGCGGTTAACTCTGTACAAATCGTAGATTTTGAAGCCCGCGAAATTGTTTGCCTTGAAGTGGAACAGTTTTACTGTTATTTAAAACAGACAGAAAAGCGGCTTTCAAATGCTTAAAAAGTCTTAGGAATTCTCAAATCGATAACAATGGTAAAAAGAGTCCCTTTAGAGGAAAATAGTTAACGTTTTTTGAATAATGTAAACTTGTGAATTCGTCGGTTTAGCGTAGAGTTGAAGGACAATGCACCTTCATTTAATGTCTTCCTTCAAATTTAATAATTAGTGGAAAAAAATCGCTTTTTGAAGAGTATTTCTTTGCTATTGTTTCGAAAAGAGAATTTTAATTTAAAATTGTGAAGGAATATGCTTAATTTGCCTGCCAAAGAGGGTTTAAAATGACAAAAAAATCRTATTGCCAAGGAAACGATTTGAAATAGTCGCTTATAGATAAACGAGAGTAAGCAAATATCAAATTTATTGGTAGCCATTTTAAAAATACAGACAAAATTTCGCTGATTGTCGTAAAATTAGCTTTGCCATTCCTCGCACAAGTTCCAGCCTCGTAATGTTATTTTTAAGCTCTTAAATTTTGACTTACGTTACTGGAGTTTTGCTCTAGTTCAGTATGCAAAAAGCTAAACTGAATTTGAATTTCTGTGCAGTGGAAATTGGCGAAAAAAGTACATTTGTATTTGCTCGTCATGCATTTGTTTAGAAAAATTTCAGGGTTGTTTATTTGGAAATGAAGCGAAATATGAGAAATAGTGAGAATTGGATGGGATATGGTTTCAAAAGGGAATAATCGGGTTATTTTCACTTGTGATGGTAAAGTGACTCAGACCTATATGACAGCACGCAGGATGATGTTTCAGGGATGGTATTTTTGAGGTTTTTTCTCGGATTGAACTGTTCTTTTCCCCCACAATTTCACCACAAACCATAAACTGTTAAGAAAAACTCCAACTTCGCTTTCCGCAAGCCAGTTGTTTGAGCATATTTTAATTGCCACGGGTTTTCGATTGACACTTTTCAAAAAAGATGCCAGCCCAATTGATAAACAAAAAGAGCCTTCAAAACTGTCTCCCGTTTTAAACGAACGACTTTAAAACGAGCAAATCTATATCTTTTAGGTCGCTTTATGCAAGAACAAAACACTTAACATTATCTGAACGTTTCGAGTCTCTTTTATCAGATCAAAACCTGTTTTGCTCACATCTCAAGACTTTCATACAAACACCCTGGATAGATTACATTGAGCGCCATTTTCAACATCTAATATTTGACATTTACTGATGTCATTCGCTTAGAGCTGGCTGTATTGTAAATCAATGACACCGTGTTTTGGTGGATAGAGACGCTAATCCTTATTCGAGTGATTAATACCGTATTTTGCAGCCACTCGCTCGTTTGATGTAGGATTAAGTCTGCTTTGCGCCRTGCTCGGTTTATAACAACAATTTCTCCCTTTTTCAAGAGTTCGTGCTTTTCTTCTATATCAGACTTCTAGCTTCAATATTCTATATTGCTTCTCCATTTCTATCAAAGTTATTAAAGTGAGATATGGCCTTAAAATGGTGCTTTTACAGAGCGCGTAACGCTTTCTTGTAAAGAATAGTTGTGTTGTGGAATAGCCGTGGGAGGGCTTGCAGACCGAACCGAATATCAAAATAAAACAAGAATAATACACAAGTAAAGGYCCGTGAAAAAAATGAGAACATAAACTTTAAAATATTCAAACTTTGAACTTTTAAAAAAATGCATGGGAAAGAAATGGGAGGGATGAAGAAAATTAAGAAAAAAAATGAAAAGTATTAAAAAAGCGGGCAATATCTGATAGCTAAATACATTTTGGCTCGATGCGAAATTTTCCCTTCGTTTTCTAAGCTATATTTTAACCAGCAAATCTCATCTCTGTTTCCAAGGAAAGTTAATAGCTTATAAGCATATCAACATGTGGGTAAAACGTTTCTTGCAACACTAGTTTGTTGATAAACTTGCTTTGTCTCGATGATAACGGCTTGTTGCTAACAGCAACCGTATGTCTGCTTAACATTAGACCATATAGGGGGGCTAACCGTCTGGCAGGGTAAAATGATATGTGTTTGATGTTGTTGAATATAATWACGTTATTTACTGCATGTATATATTTCGGTTGGACTGTTGAGAGTAATTTTTCGCTAACTCAAACAAGCCGCATGTCAATTTGAAGGGATTTGAGCTCGGATACTAGTCCCCACAAATGAGGTTTGCGAGCCACATATTTCAAATTCAAAAAATCAAGAAACACGAAATAAACTGGTCACATTTTGACCACAGCTCTTTTTTTTTCTTTCTTTCTTTTTTTTAGAAACTTTTTTTGAATATCATTTCCGTTTACTGTGACAAAGGAAGTCGAGTAATTACTGCTAGTTTTGTAGTTTTTATTTCTATTCTTTCATTCTCCTTTCTTTGTGATATTCAGCGGAGGAATAGTCACAAAAAATACGATAAAAAAAACGTTTTCCGCTTTCGCATATATATTGAAATTAGAGCGACAACCTATTTTCGCAGTGAAATTCAATTTTGAATAAAAACATGTCTATCTTCGAGTTTAATTTTCCATAAATTTTAAACAGCTGAATATCTGTATCTTTAAAAAGATTTCTCTCAAAGATATGAGAGGTATTAATATTTTATGTGTGGGGCTTTTGTATTATTTAGAATATCTTTTTTGGTCAATTTCTTTAAAGTTCGCGATTTTTCCCTTCATTTAAACRCCCAAAATTGTCCGGTTTTCTTCGCTCAAACGCTTAACTCCCTCTCGCTTTTYTAATTAACTTCGAGCGCTTGTCTTYGTATGGACGATTTCTCAATCGAGAAAGTAAAGACAGCTATTTTTCACTTTAGGAACTCGGTCTGAATAGGCTCGGTTTTTGAATTAATCATACGGTATATAGCGTTTTAGACATCTGAWTGTTTAGGTTGTCATGGTATCTGTGATGCCACCCGCACTTGACTACAACTGTCAATTCCTTTCAAGTAAGGACAAATAACATGAAAACTATTATATTTAATTTGGCTACGTTGATGTTATCCAATCGTCATTATTCCGTCATGTTGGAGCCGTGTCTTCACAGGAGACAAAATTTATTCTATTTGTAAATTCTAAGAATTTTTGAAAAATATTTTCATTTTAATCGTCATCCACATTTTTATTTGACGAAAGTAACTCCTGGTTGCTTTATGAACTTTTYCCACTAAGTTTCAGTCCAAGACGCGAGTAAAATTGCCGTTTAAACATTMTCACCAACGCACAACTACATCGCCGTTTTTACATTTTTAAATCTAGCTCTAGAACTGGCTGGGCAGAYCCAGAGAAAATGTCATTATATATCATTCCCATTTAGTTAGGAAATTCAAATGTTCAAATTCTATCCATTATTCTACAGAAAACCTCGAAATGACTGAAAAATGTTGACAAAAGCATTAACTACCTCTAAATAGAGTGGACTGGCCGGCCAGTTCTGCCTATGGAAAGAACCCTTATACTATTATTTTTAGTCTGGCAAAATGCGATATATTTAGAATTTTTCATTTTCTTTTTCATCGCTTTCATTTCTATTTCTAAATCGTAGACAGCATTTCAAGCCTTCCAATCTCCTGTAGCTGGAACTGACAGATTTCTGTTTGCTTTCAGCTGGACAAGATTCGGTGTTTTTATAGCTTGTCTCATTATTTTCTTTTCTGCTTTGCTTAAGATATATTAAACGTGCAAATAGCTGTTGTAAGTAGTTTTGTATTATTGTCATTACAATGCAGACGAGATCGTAAAATATTCTACCTGGCATGACACTTCCAACGAGTTTTTATTGAATCGAACTTCGAATGAATATTACATTCATTGACAATTTCCCAATATTTCTTCATTTCTTGTTAAAGTAACATTGAAATATTCCACGTTCAGATGATGCGTAAGATAAGGAAATCTTAATTTAAACACCAGGTGCATCAACTGGAATAAAAAAGCTTAAAATCTGGAAGAAATATAGATAAAATTGGGTTCAAATTACTCCGTTTGCAATTAACTAATTTCTCAATTTATAAATGAAATCACAGGTAGAAATATATATTTATTCGTTATCTTAATAGAAAAATTCCCAGCGCAGCTAGCTTCTGACAGAGACAATACAAGCATTTTTTACACTGGAATCGTGAGGAGGTTTTACCCCAGACCACTTTTCCGCACATGCTCAATCCAATGACATCGTTGCTAAAAAAGTATTGGTTACCAGCTTAGCGTTTTCGTTTATCAATTGATAAACATCATTTTAATAAAGTTTGGAAAGGMTTCTCCAGGAATGAAAGAAATGGGTTTTAAGATCTTCTTTTCAAACTTMAGGCTAACTTCTGTTAGCTTATATTTGTGACGCAAACGGAGGAGCCCCCCTAGGTTTTTCAATTAAAGCTAAATTAATCCAAATTCTAGGGTTTCTTGAATAATTAGACCTCGCATACCGACAATACCTTGTCGAGGTTGCTCTAGTTTCTTCGAGAGAGCAAGCAACACTATGAATCTGGGTAATTCTGGGTCGATTCTATAAACTCTAGGTCTAATTACAGCAAAAATATCATGTCATCAGCCACCTTAATTTTTTTAATGAAAACTTAATTTAAAGATAGAAAAATCTGTAAATGCAAGCCAAAATTTAATCGYTTATTTCAAATTCCCGCTGATTATGTTGTTTATTAAGGTAGCGGGGGTATCTTACTAATGGTWGAGCCAAAATTGGCACCGGCCACCTTAACAATAATTCATCGTTGCGAGCCTCCTTAAAAATTARTACTTTAATTTTCAGTTGAAACTAATTTGGTATTAGTCGCGTATTACGCCTTCTAGATGTCAACAACTTATTGTTTCAACCTTAATAATCAAGCTAAAACCTTCAATTGAAAATACTAGCCAAACAAAATATAGAATTTATTTGCGAACCGCCTTAAAAACTAATATTTTAATCTGAGAGTATATTATGACAACATGCTAAGGCCAAAACATGATTTCGAAGAATCGATTATGTTTTGCCTACAAGGCTCAATGCAGTAATCTATAATATTATAACAAATAGGAAACTATTCTATCAAAACAGTTAGCATTCAGCTGGATTAAATTTGAGTAATAATTTCAATTTCCTTGCTCATGGAAACAAGACAGACTGGTCAAGGTGCAATTCTTAATTTCTATCATGCTGAGCTAAATATCTTATGTGAAAATTCGTTACTGGGACTGCAGAAAGAAAGGGTGAAAATGAATAATTATAAGAGTAAAAACTTTTTTTTAAATCATTTCTTTTTTTTTTTCGGCTTCTTTTTTGCATTACTAGCCTCTCTCACAGGCGTTCTTAGTCTCGAATTTTCGTGGCGAGACTAAGAACGCCTGTGAGAGAGGCTATTGCTATACAAGTGCAATTTCCTATTCGAAGTAACTCTTCTTCGAAAAGGCAAATTTACATTTGTAAGCTGCTGTTGAAACGTTTTAAAATTTGAAATATGTCGTGAATAAATCTACGAAAAGTGGAAAAGTGTTTGAATTGASGAGAATGCCTTGAAGAAGAAAACAGAGTCGAAAAAGGAAAAACAAGTGACAAAAAAGAAAGGAAGAGAAATGAGTAGGAGTAAAGTAAAAGAATTAAAATAAAAAAGTGGGAAAACATTTCCAAAAGGAAACGCAAAACAAAGAAAAAGCTATATAACAAGAAAACGTTAAGACTCCAACGGAAAGGAAGAAAAGAAGATCATTCAGAACTGTGGATGCGAGAAAAGAACAWTTAAAAAAAGAAAACACAACAACAACTTAAAACTGAAATAGAAAAAAAAACTGAAAAAAGAAAGAAAAATCGGAAATTCAATTACACAACGAAATGATCCCACAATGTGAAGGCAATAACTCTCACGTTCAATGAAAAAACAAATCACGTTCCTCTAATGACCCTCGCGTGCATCTGTTACAGATGTTGTTAATGATGTATTATAGCTATCATAGTACGCGCTCTTTGATTGGTCAAATGTTATYGTTTATTTCACCGGYAAACGCACGGRCGCGAAAATGCTATAATATTAAATCAATAAGCAACACATTTTCACTGGAAAAAATGGCTCGCTTTAAAGGTTGTAAATTTGATGTAAATATGATGTAAGTGTCCATAATTCTGTAAATTTAATGGAAATCATTTACATCAAATTTACAGAAATTTGGACACTTACATCATATTTACATCAAATTTACAACCTTTAAAGCGCGCGATTTTTTCCAGTGTTTTCTTGCGTTCCTGGTGAAATAAACCACTTCTGCTCGATCCTCCCAACATCCTTCGTGGTTTATTTAACCAGGAACGCACGAAAATGTATTGTTTATTGCTTAAATTTCTATGCTTAGCAATCGCAAATAATTTAAATGAAATACTAAGCTTCCCTTGTCGATGAAAATGACTGAACAAAAGTGTTCTTTAAAGGGACACTGTCAATGGATGACATGCGCACTAACAGTCTCACCTCTAACGGCGGACTTTGAAAGTATTACCTTCGAGGTAAATCATTTTGTGGTGCTTTTGACACACTTTGGAATATTCTAGATGTGTTTACGTTTACGAGCTGATTTATGTCGCGCCAACTTGGAGTCATAAACTTGAAAACACTAGCCTAATGTTTTCAAGTTTACTCGCGCATGCGTGCCATTGACAGTGTCCCTTTAAGTCAAAAAGCTCGCTTATTTAGATTTCTTGTTGCTAATTTGTTGTTAGATTGAGTAACTTATCATTATCATTTTTGATGAAAGCGATGTTTATGATGATATGCAGGGCATGATGAAATGACTATTAAAAGCTATTAGTAATAAATAAAGGATATTGCATGGGCGCGCGGTGATACGGATTTTATCTTAGAGTGTTGAAAAGATCTTTCACGAGTGAGCTTAGCGAGAGATTTGTAATGCGAGAAGATAAAATTCTTATTTCCAAGCGACCATGTAGTTATCTGTAATAACATATGAAAGTAAATAATGTCGTAAAAAACCTTTTYTTCTTACTTCCACTATATAGAGAAACCTYGGTAGGTAGCTATTTTACAGATAATTATATGMTAAAAGGTAATAGTACTATYAATAAATCATTAATCACTAATGGTTTAATTAATGGTTTCCAGGRTATGGTCACATTACTCCAGTGACGGTGATCGGACAGATTATATGCATATTTTATGCCTTGCTTGGGATTCCACTCACTGGTCTCACGCTTCGGTCAATTGGTAACAGAATCTCAGAATACATTGCTGCAAATATAAAAAGCTTGGACCGAAGAATTTACAACAGAGAGACTGAAAAGTTAGAAATCAAGACTGCTGTTGTAGCTTTTGGTTGCCTYCTTCTGATCATACTTATTCCAGCAATTGGGTTTTCACAGATAGAGAAATGGCAGTATACAGAAGCTGTGTACTTTTGTTTTGTCACTTTAACGACGATTGGATTCGGGGATTTTGTTCCTGGATCGTACGAAACGCGTCGTCGTTATGGAGAAGCACTTTATGTGCTACTGGAGTTTTTGAACCTATTTTATATGGTACTCGGTTTGGCTGTAATGTCTGGCGTCATTGTTTCGATTAGTGGTGTAATAGAAGAAAAAACAAAGAACTTCGGAGTAGACCCGCTAGAAGCTTTGAAAAATATTCGGGTTGAAAATTTGAACTCAAGAGCCTTGAAGAAGCTCGGCTACAAAATGGGCCCTGGAGGTCCCCAAGGTGGCACTATGAACCATGACATGGATCGGCCTAGGGCAAATAGGCTCCCTCCAAAATTGGCCCCAAGGAGTATAWCGGGGACTAACAACACAATGGAACGAAGTCGTTCGGCTGAGACAATGGAGTTTCAGGGGCCGACGCCTGTAATGTATCTAAATAAAAGGACTGGGAATGACCCAAATTCGACGGATAATGTCAACACAGGAAGCCCACCTACATCTAAATTATTTAATAATAAAATAGCACCTGTAACATTACCAGAAAGTTATACAAATAACGCCGACAACCCGAATAATAATACCGACGCACGAAAGTCTTCCGATGATAACTCGACGAGTACGGAAAGTGCCGAAGAGGCACGAGCGAGCGACGAAGATAACGAAGTCGCAAAGACAATGAACGGTTCTGTTGAAATTCGGCAGGAGGCAGAATTAGACGGTTTAGAGACGTTTTGCGAGGAACCGAAGAATAATTTGGTGAGTAGATGTTTTGAAATCTGCTAAGCAAATATTGCATTAAGCTGGTTTGGACAGCTGTTCAGTTATTTGCTCGTGCTTTCTAGTGATAGTAACAATATACTGTGAGTTTGCGGGGAGAACACTAAGATTGTATGAATGTCGACAATGAAGGCTCACAATGGGACAGCCTACTTTTGTTTCAGTGTCTTGGCGGGAAACATTACAATGGGTTCTTTTTTCAACCAATCACATTTCTGACAACCTGATAACTGACAGCCTGACAAAACAAAGCGTTGCCGTTGCTGTTGTTTTTTTCTTGGCGTGAAACGCAATGGTTTCTTTTCGATCCAGTTTCTAATTTTTCTTTCTTGGGTTTCGRCCTTTTCTATTTTTTTTCTTGGGCACCCCAAGCCATTTTAAATGCTGTCAACGGGAATTAGAAAGCCTCGGTCCAAAGCAAAGATGTCAATATTTMTTTTTGTGATATGCTATTTTTAGAGTGGTTTCGTTTGTCTAATAACGATGTTTTAATTCTGTGAAACGAAAGATAAATAGTCAAGGTGTACTAGTCAAATAGAAAAAGGAAATAATGAAATTTAGAGTCAATTTATTAGATGTGTAACATGTGTTGTTGCTACAATTTTATAACAACAAACATTCAATGCGCAATGTACTACAATTTTGTACTCTTTTTATACAAAAAGGGGTGGGTGTTAAGGGCGGGGGGGATACTCGACCCCGTTTTGGATAATTTTGTCCCGCCAGCGGTCTAAACTCGCCTTTCTTTGGCTAGTACGTTTTATTTGAATGCTTTTGGAAAGGATTCCGTAAAAAAATACAATAGAATAATGTGAGATTGCTAAGCTGAACAACGGKCYAAGTGTCCTTACTCTTTTCCTAACTGGTTATTCTATTTCAAACTAGTTTTATAAATAAGTTTTGCGAATTATAGCTCCAAGAAGATTCTACTTTCCATACGTTGTCTCGTGTGAGACGCAACAATAAAGAGATTTTATCCGGCCAATCACAGAGCGAGCAAGTTGGCTTCAAACCGTTAAAAACGGCGTCAAGGACCAACGCTAAGTTTTGAAATTAACAGGTCGAAAATTAAATCAATATTTGAAGTATAATAATMTCTTACTGATAAAACAACAARCYAGTTGTTTTTGTCACGAAAAGTCGTTGAAAATTCAACATTGTTTATAATGTTTATAGTCACTTAAATGTTGATAATTTAATAATCTTTAATAAAAGCAATAAAGCGTTCATAATTCATAACAAACAAATAATTTATGATTTATATAATTCATTAGAGTGCTTACAATACTATTATATAATTTAAATAGTTATTACCAAATAGTTCTTGTTAGTGACT